CATAATCATTCAATTATTCTTAACAACTATTCTCTTGTTAAATTATGTATCTTCATTCATTCCAAGTTCATTCCTGTAACCATTCACACGTTTTAATAAACGACTCAAGTTTTCTTTTAAAGAACAAAGTTTAGTTTATTTTTGTGAGTAAACAAACATAACATTAACCAAACCAGCATAAGTTAAGAAATCGTGTTGATCTGATTTCTACGCATTGAGACAATTACATCGCTGATGAAAACGTGATATTTTCTTCCCAAACATATCGGTAAGATTTGATACCGTAGTTGCGAAATCAAAATCCGTATAGTCTTTCGGCAAAATATAGTTAACATACTGCGTGTGAACTGTCATGCTTAATTTACGAAGAAGTAGTCTGACCTTTGCTGCGTCGTCCAATGCTTGAGCATCAACGGAAAATAATCCTCAGTAACGTACATGTCATGCATCGAAAGTCAAACCATTCTCCGGATCGTAAATAAATTCTGTGATTGAAGAAACCAATGTCTCCATTTTAGTTTCCATACCCGCAGTTACGGATGAAGGAGCCTTAATAATCTTGGCGATCTTGGTTCACAAATTCCTGCTGCTGAGCATAAAACTGCTGCTGTTGCTGCTGTTGCTGCTGCATCAACGGCGTTAAAATCTCACCGAGATTTTCCATATCCTCGTCGCCAAAAACTGTTATGTTTATTCAGCTCACAAAACAAATAATAAACAACTTTTTTAAGAAGTTTAACGATTCGGTTTATTCAGACGTGAACAAAGGAATGAACTTTTAAAAAGAATGAATGCTTGTGTATCTCGGTTGCTAAGGCGTTTGATAGTAGTACCGATATCGATGTTATATCGATTACTACATCTGTAATACTCGATACCGATGTTATATCGATTACTACAATATACTGTAAGAATTTTTTTAATTTTTTAATGTTTAGGCTGAACAGGCGGCAGGTAAGTATTTGCAGGGTAATGTAAGGCTGCCCTGAGAATATTGATCGTGATCGATCAGACCTCTCGTTCATCGGATGGATAAAGCCGGACGTCATACAGAGGTCGTGTGAGGAAGGAGAGAGACGGCACACGAAGTAATAAGATACTTGAAACACTTTATTAACTTAGTACATTTTTTGTACAGACGGCGTCATTAATTCGAAGAATAGGCGCGGGGATCGGAGGGCAAGCGGGGCGGTTGCTCGTAGCGCCAACGGGCGCCGTACTAACTAACTAGTAGCAATCGGGTGTCCACAACTGGACACCCGATTTTGGGACTAATGGATATTTGAATCAACTGGACTTTTTATGTGATCCCCGCGCCTATTCTTCGAATTAATGACGCCGTCTGTACACGACTACCCGATACACGCACGACTTACAGGCTCGCACCACCGTTAACGACTGACTGCCTTTTTTCCGCATCTCGAGGTAAAGCGCCCGAAATAAAACAATTGCCGATCTACACATCACACTTCCTTTATTTTCCCGGGACATGCATATTTATGCTCGCTGCGCGAGGACGCTCGCTCGTGCGCACGCCCTTCTCATGACTGCCAACTGGTAGCCTGCGCGGTGACAATTCGCATAAATCTCGCTGAGAGCGCCGTTTTGGTTATTGCAGTACAGTACCAACTTACAGTACCAACTTACAATACATGTTAGTTGTTAACGTTAGATATTTAGTAAATGGCCAATAGGTTTACGTTTTGAGAAGAAAATTGAAAAGAAGAGTAGTTATATTATCGACACGACGTAGTTGCGAACAATCAATTGCTACTATTTAGTTCGTACGGCGCTCGCTGCCCTTACGGAAAAAACTTGACCGTAAACGCTCAAAATTGAACGTATAACGCTGGATATTGAAAGTTTACAGTCAAGTTGAACGTGATTTGGTACGTTACGGTCAATAGTTGAACGTTTTTTCCGTAAGGGTGGCGCTACGAGCAACCGCCCCGCTTGCCCTCCGATCCCCGCGCCTACTCCGCGAATTTTTGACGCTGTCTGTACGTAGTTGGAAAGCACTCCTATTCTACTTCCAATGGAAACGGAACACTAAATTTGATCTGTACCGGAGTGGAACCATAGAGCTTATACTCATGGAGAGGCCCTGCGACCGCAAGGAGGATCGACAAAGAGTGATATATTTTTCTGTTTCAACTATGGCCACTTCTTATAGAAGAGAATGGGTGTGTTTTGCCGAAGTTAGCGCTACGTAGCGCTACGTAGCGCTACGTAGCGGCTTCATGTAGCAGTTGCAACTCAGGCGCGTTTTTAAGACTGGTAAAACTTCGGTACAAGGACAAAGATGAGAGGGCTCTTTAATTAATAATTATAATAATAATAATAGTAATAATAATAATAATAATTATTATTATTATTATTATTGTTATTATTATTTATTAAAGGCAACTGAACAAAAGTTTTTAATGATTTTTTATTTGTATGCAAATTTAAAAACGAACACCTCTTCGAACTTTAACCGACATAAATTTGTTTGCAACATCTTCCAAATTTAAATTAATCAAAACATTTTTTTCAATTGATAATAAAGTTAGATCAGATGTTCTTTTCTGTGTCATGGTACTTCTTAAATAACTTTTAAGTCTCCTTAATACACTAAATGATCTTTCGGCATTCGCAACTCCGATAGGTAATGTTATGAATATTATAAATTTATAAATGTTTATCATGCACCGAGGGCCCGCAGATTCCGGGNCCCGTCGGTGCATCGCACCGGTTGCACCGACGTTAAATACGCCTCTGTTGCAACTGCTGCGTTACTTCTGCTGGACAGTATTGCTACGCGCAGCATGTTCTAAGTAGTGGCCGCCATTTTTGTAAGCAGTTGCAACTGCTACATGAAGCCGCTACGTAGCGCTACGTAGCGCTAACCTTGGCAAAACACACCCAATAACCAGCCGTGGCTAGTCGCGTATCTTCGCAATGAGAGGCACGAGGCCCGAGAAAGGGAGACGCACGAAGTCCAAATATGGGCATAGATGGTCGAGCGTCATTATGCGCAGGCGCATCTACCAAGTGAGTGCGAGCGAGAC